CCTGGAGAAGGATGTCATGCTTGGTAGGATGGAGGGTCGAAGAAAGAGGGGGAGGCCTTCAACGAAATGGATTGACACGGTGGCTGCGATGATGGGCTCAGGTATAGCAGGGATTGTGGAGCTGGCACAGGATCGGGCAGTGTTTCATTCTGCTGTGCATGGGGTCGCTATGAGTTGGAAGCGACTCGATAGCACCTAACAACAACAACAAGGTAGAGAAGCATGCCTCTGTTTGTATCTCATATAGCTTAAAATATTTTATCAGGGACTTTTCAGGCTACAGGAAATAATGCCCATAATTTAGAAAATTAAGTTATTAAGCATGATTAAAGGAAATGATCATGTTTGAAATTTTGGTTGAAGAAACCACATCAAAAACTATGTATAAAATTCTTTTAAAAGCACACCTCAGGAAGAGAACAACCATGATGTGTTAGATAATGCTACATAAAGACCTGGCAGGATTTAATATAATACAGTTTGACTGGACATAGCCCAGAGAAAATCAAGCTAAAATGGGGTAAAAGTAAGGAGTGTAGTATAAGAAATAATGGTCATAAAGAATCAATCTAATGATTCAGGAAAGTGAAAAACTAAGAAATAAAAGCAAGCCCAAAACTGGTGGAGTGAAGGTCAAATTCAAACTACCAGTACTAGGTTCCAAAAAACCAAACTCACTCCCATGAGTTGACTCTGACTCATAACGACCTCCAGTGGGTTTCTGAGGCAGTAAATCTTTATGGAAGTAGATTGCCCCATTTTTCTTCTGCAGAGCGGCTGATGGGTTTGAACCACCAACCTCTGGTTAGCAGTCAAATGCCTTAGGCACTATGCCACCAGAGCTCCCAGCCATACTAGGTTAGACTTAGGAACTAGGTTTCCTGTGCCCACCAAATATTTAAGAACAGTAGTATAGCCTATAAAAGACCCTTAAAGAGCCTCAAGACCTATTTTACTCTGGTCCTCTTTCCTATTGCTTTTTAAAAATATTTAGTTAGAAATTATCCCATGCTGGAGAGTAGTATGACAGCAACTTCAAGAAGCAAAATGACTTGTTCTGCTTAAACGCTAGAAACTTCAGTTCATCCAACCCTTGCAGACAAGATAACACCCTGGACATGGCCTCAAAGATCGACATGTCAAGCCCAGTGTGCCTCATTGAGAACATTAATGAGCAACTGATGGTTAATAAGGAAGCTTTGAACATCTTGTCTGGCATCAAGCAGCCTCTTGTGGTGGTGGCTATTGTGGGCCTCTACCGCACAGGCAAATCCTACCTGATGAACAAGCTAGCTGGGAAGAAACGCGGTAAGTGGTACCAGCAAAGTTCTGCTGAGTCCCCCCTCTCTTCACTCCTGCTGCACACTATCTAGTGTGGTAGTTTCAGAAGATAATAGACAAGGGGATAGATATTGAAAGCTAATATCTAGGCTCCAA